TGGGAACACCTTAAAATACATATTGCACCAAATCAAATATGCAACTTCAAGCAGTGGAGCTTTCCCCCAGCTCAAAACTGAACTGTAACTCCTTTGTAAATATGAAGACACAACTTCACTGTTTAGCACAAAAAGACCTGCAGAACCTTAGTAAATATCCCTTTGTCTCTCCCTGCAGTCACACTGACCACATTTAGTGAGGGTTGTTGTGCCCAAAACATTTTTTTCACTTTAGGTACATATTGATAATTTGTAGATTAGCAGGTGCTAATAGTTCAATTTGGGTAATGTTGTTGTTTAAAGACAGAATGACAACATTGATTTTGTTCTAAATGGTCACCTGGCTTAATGAGTAATTTCCAAATGTTCCAGCTAACAACAAACACAGGAAGCGAGTACCTCCTCCAGGCTGATGGTTACTCCACCGCCAGCAAATGGTACGATGACATCAGAAAGGCCATCGACTCCTCAGTAAGACCACATGTACTTTTAAGCTCACTGTTGCGTTTGTTATAAATCACTGTTTGGACTGTCTTGTGGTTTAATTGTTACATACACTCACCAGCCACTTTATTAGGTACACCTGTATGCACTTCAATGCACTTCCACCTTAACATCTGTGTTCATGAAGCTCAAAATGTTTGTTTTTGGTGAAATTGTCATAAATGTATAAATTCAATTGCATATTATTGAGGTCAAAATTACAGGTGGTGTTGTACAGGACTGCATTATATTCAGAGGTGTTCTTAATCCTAATATTCTGACAGTCATGTATGCAACTGGAAAAGACAAAAAAATATATACACACCTCTAAATATAATGTACAGATGCAGCCACCTCAAATTGTTGGATGGACCGCGGTGGAACTGTATCTGATCCGTGATAGGTCTGCTCATGGCCCCTGCTCTTATCATGTATCCCCTGTGATGTCACAGTGATCACAGCACCATCTTGTTAATGGCCCTAAGCACCATGTGTGCAAGCCACCCACAGTGTTGTGTGTGTATATCTGCCAAGTGGAGCAGTGTTCATTGTAGTTTACTGCAGAGGTGGACTGATAAATTTATCCTTAAAGTCCCCATGGCTGCTCATTTTGCTTGTTTCCAGCCATTTAATGTTTAATCTTGTTGTACCTCTAGATTAGCTTAGGGCCCCTCATAACTCCAAATAGCTTGTAATTGTTCAGGAATCAGAGAGCCTCTTCCTAAAAATGAGAGGATAGTTCGTGAACATGTGTAAGTCTGCTGGTGTTGTGTCGCAAGTGGACAGCACAACTAACCACACCAGCATTAATTAATTTGAATTTCTCCTCCATAGATGGGTAAACAGCAGTATATGTACCGATGAAAATAGATGTGTAACAAAGCAAGTAACTGAGAAACCCCATATTTTAACTGGCATAATGCAGACATAGTAACTTCTCCAGCCTTACAACAATTCTCTCTAACTACAGAAACAAGGCATTAACAGACATGTAACGTGTTTTTAAACTTACCGTTATGTCCCACCACATAGTGGAAACATCACTCCCTTTCAAGTAGCTCCAAGGTCGGTAAATCCAACCGGTGGTCACTGCGTCCTCCCCGCATGACCACATATAGTCCCATAGTAAGAAAGTCACTTTTGGCTTTTCCCATTTAGGGGTTGCCACAGCGAATCGTCACACTGACGACTCACATGTTGACATTTGGCACGTGTTTCATGCCGGATGCCCTTCCTGATGCAACCCTGATTCGAACCCGGGCCGCAGCGGCGAGAGTGCTGCGCCTTAACCACTAGCCTACCAGGGTAGTGAAATTAATTCCAACAGGTAGTGTAGTGTCAACAATAACATCTTGGATCCTTAATCCGCTGGTTAACCGGCAACACATCACTTGTGGCAGACACACTGGCCTCAAGCAGTCAGAACAAACAGGTACTGTGCTTCGGGGAATCTAGCATTGATGAGATGATAATTCATCACTGTGGGGGCTTCACTGGCCAGCTGCCTGTAGGTGAGACCCGGTCAGGTAAAACAGCTAGTCCCTGTACATGAACATTCTTGGACATGCAGTAACCTCAGGGCCTGCATTTTTCTCCACATCCTCTGGTCACAGTGCAGCAGCAGGAGGGAAAATACTATATATCCACAAAACCAGGTGGAGTCAAAAAATTCCACTTTTACAATGGCACCATGGGTGCCAGGCAAGCTCACATGAAGGTGCAATGACCTGGAGATTATGATTATTCAAGGAAATTCGTAAAGCACTAGGTAAGACTTTACATAGTTGGTTGAGGGAAAAAAAGTCTTGCCAGCGAAGGTTTGCCAGACTTGTATAAACCGAGATGCTTCTGCATAGAACAACACAGGTACACCTTGTTTTTGAGCTTTCAGTCACATTTAAGGTCTTTCACAATTGTAACATTGTACATAAGTCAGAAAACACAGAAAAGCGCCATGGGCTTTTTAAGTTCACTGAGCTGTGACTGAACAGTGCTGAACCCATCCTGTAGTTTATGATCAACAGGACATAGTTGTACATTACTGTCATCAGCATAACTGAATGTGAATCCCATCGATGTTCAGTCCTATGTTGTTTATATAAAGAGAAAATATTGGCCTGACCACAGTGCCTTGAGGAACTCCTTTTACAACAGGAGTCCAAGTGGAACTCAGACTGTAAATTTTTACACACTGAGTTCTACCATACAAATAATTTGAGAACCAGCCAGTAGCTTGGTCAGACAACCCAATATTGACTAATCTCTGATTTAGGAGGGTATGATCCATAGCATCTAAAGCTTTAGACAAGTCAATAAAAATGCTGCACTCTGCTTTCCATCCAGAGCTATGATGACATAATTTACCCCCTTCATAGCAGCAGTAATACTATTATGCTGCCTGACTGACTGATGCTTAGTTAGCTGGTTGCTTGCCAGCTTTTCAAACATTTTAGCCAAGACTTAAAGGATGCAAATGGGCCTATCATTATTTAAGGAGGTTACACTGCCTCCTTTAAATAATGGTGCTACAAATGCTGGCTTCTATGCCTTAGGAATCTCATTTGTAAGTAAGGTTAGTTTAAAAATGTACAAAAGAGGAAAAGCAACCAGATCTGCTACAATGTTTAAAAGGTATGGCTAGATCTTATCTGGGCCTGCAGGTTTTTTCTTATCCAATTCTGATAATGCTTCATGAGCCTCAGAAAACAAGAAGGTTTTTTTTTTCTGACCTAGAGGTATCAAACTTTTACAGTATGGAGCCAGCTTGGATTCAAAAAGTGTTGAGGTGGCAATAAAGTGCTCACTGAACAATTTAGAATTTTGGACTTATGGTCAGGGTATTAGTGAAATAAAACCCTTTTTGTGATTGGTTGTAACTCTTTCTGTTCAGACTAAAGTTGATGGAGGTTTTCCTCTGCGGAGGTCAAGTAGCACAGAGTACCTGCCCAGACACAGCTCCCTACCAGGATATGGTTCTGCCCCCCCCACCACCAAGCAACACAACCCAGTTCACAGACGCTCCATCAGTAAGTAACTTCCAGGAATGATTATTGTATATTATCTGTCTTCTGAGGACAGTTTTGAGTCTGTGCATGCTCCACCAGTCGCTAAAGACATAGAGTATCTGTTATTATAATATAGTGGTACATTTAGCAGCTAAAGAGCCAGACATTTATCAGGTGAGCACAAACACCACTCAAAGTATATTATGTTGCTCTGTAACTGCAGGATATATAAAAAATTCCAGACTGTTGTGCTGATAATAGCCCCATAACACAAAATAAATAAACCTTTTTTTACAGATATGTTCAGTAGCTCAAAGCTAAAACATAGCACCTCAGACAGCGCTGACAAGAATGGAGTGAGGAACAGACTGAAGAAGTTTATCACCAGACGTCCATCCATGAAAACGTTACAGGAGAAAGGCCTGATCAAAGGTTTGTACTTTATCTGTACATGTTTAAACCGCTACGTTCCTCTTTTGTTTTTCAGTGAGTCACATTGATTTGATTTGATTTATTCTTTCAGTCAATATGTCAACACACATAATTTCACACATATCCACAAATGCATTATCAATTTGCTTATACCTAGTACATGCATGAACGGAGTAGGAAGAAGTTAGACTTATCTAGTCCTACCCCATAACATCATCTTACCATCATTGGTTTGCAAGCAGTATTTCTACATAGATAATTTTGTTCTACACCACGCAAGTGATATACTAAAAAATTATTACAGATTGTTAACATTCTTACATAATTACATACTTTGATAATTATCTTCTACACCACACAAGTAGAATTATTACATAGTGTTAACATTCTTATACCACACCCACAATGTTACACCTGATTAATCATTAAACCTGTTCTTGCATATATCTTGATTGACACATACCTTTATATTTATGTTTAAACTCGTCAATTCTATTACTATTTTTTATGTCCACACTTAAATTATTCCATAGTTTTACCCCACTTATGGAAATACAGAATCTTTTTTTGGTTGTACGTATAGCATGAATTTTAAAATTTAACTGACCCCTTAAATTATATCCCCCTTCCTTTTCATTAAATAGTTTTTAAATTCCACCAGGTAATAAATTGTTCCTGGCTTTATACATAAACACAGCAGTCTTGTGTCCCCCTAAATCAAAAAATTTTAACAATTTAGACTGTATGAAAGCATTAAGGTTGCTAAACTCTTGCCATCCTCTATCTAGCTTTAAAATTCTGTTCCCACTCAATGAAATATTTTAAAATTAAATTTAGACATACCTAGTACATAATTTCAGACATTTCACCAAAATTCATCTTATGGAAATTTTGAGAGGCACCTAGCATGTAAAGGCTTGAAGAAAGTCTGAACAAATGCCATCAGTGGCAGGTCAGAGGACTGAAGCAATTAAGGTAGAAGGTAGAAATTATTTACCTTCTTAATGATCTTTTGGACTAATAATAAAGGTTTAAAAACTGGTGAATAAACCTGCTGTAACATTAACCATTAGTCCCCAGACCTGATCTGAAAAGGGGATTTAAACTAATGTTATGTCTGTCTCAGATCGTGTTTTCGGTTGCCATCTATCGACTCTCTGCAAGCGTGAAGGAACCACGGTACCGAAGTTTGTTCAGATCTGTTTGGATGCTGTTGAGAAGCGAGGTACATTCACTTATAAGCACTGATGACGTTTAAGCCTTTCTACAGGCAAAACAAAAAAGAAAAATTATTGTTGAGCACAATCATCCAGCAAAAGATTGTACATGTTGATCCGTTTTTATAAATATGACCCTTATTTTACCAGGGGAATGTCATTAAGATTAAAAATCATCTTCTGATCAAGATGTGGATCTTCTGATGTCTGTTTCTGTTCTGTTTTATAAATACTTTTATAAACTGACTTTGTATTTTAAGGTCTTGAGGTTGATGGGATCTACAGAGTCAGTGGAAATTTGGCCACAATCCAGAAACTTCGCTTTATTGTTGATGAAGGTAAGTTCAAACTTTTTCTTGCTCTAGTTGAATGTAACTTTCCAAACTGTCTCTTGAAAATTTAAATAAAAGAATATTATTATTGTCATTGCATGAATACAACAAAATTGTTTACAGCTCCATACTTGATACTATAAAGAAAAATAAATAGCATAAAAAGCTGTAAAATACAGTAAAGCCTAAACAGTACTCAATGGGAGTAAATACTGCTGCAGCTCATATGTGCAATGCAGCAGAAAAACCAATGACAAATGGTTTTGCAGGAAATGGGGGCAAAGATGAGCTAACATTTGCTAAAAGAGGACACCTGGACTAGCAGCACAGCTGTGCCTCCTCCATACGTGCTACAGTAACATGAGACACGTCATCGATCCAGATTCCATTCCAAATATTCACCTAAACCTGCAGCAACTTTAGTCTGTAACCCAGTGAGCAAATAACATTAGCTGTTGGTCTGACTAAAAGATCATTTGTTTGTAGATATTTTAGTGTGGAAACACCAAAAAGCAAGACAGCCTTTTGTAATATAATATAATATAAGCCAACATACCAAGGGGTGGAAGAATGGTTGGGTCATACAATACAGCCAGCTTAATCAAGCACCCACAGAGGTTTCACGTGAAAGAGTACCATAGGTTTGTGTTAGCCAAAAGACCAGAAGACACCATGAACAGCCATAGACTTGCTCTTAATCAGTCATTTGCATATATAAACAGTGTCTTAACTAGGGCTGTGTGATTAACCAAATTTGATTTTTGAATTGGCGTTTGGCTTCCAATGTCAGGTTTGGCGGGTGAAGCTACCAAATAGTGTTTGTAGTGAACTCAATTATATTGCCAGACGAACTGAGGTAGAGAATAGTCTTTTTACTAGCAACACTCAAAACAATAGTACAAAGTCCAGGATCAGGCCGATAATACAGTCCAAGGTCAGCGCCGGTAAACATCTACAGCCAGGAGATCCACAAGAGAGAGGTCTGGGAGAAGATATCAGAGGGTCAGTACACATAAGGCAATCAGAATCTGGGAGAATAAGGCAAAACACGATGGTCAACAGGCAATCCGGGGTTAGAACAAGATAGTCAGGCACAAGAAAAAATGCTGGAAAGTCAGAGTTGGGGTCTAGAACTATCTGGCAACTTCCTGGTGTGGGGGAAGTTGCCTATATGCTTGTTGTAGCAGGTGTTGCCAATCTGGGTGATGAGATGCAGGTGAAAACAATACTAGCTGATTAACGTAAAGAGTCCAAAACTGAGGTGAACCAAACAGGAAGTGATCTCAAAATAAAAGCCTGGGACTGGAAGCCGGTGGGACAGAATCATGACATCCAATGATTATGAAAACAAAATAATCAAGTTAAACAATTATTGTGCTGCATTCCATTTTGTAATGATGCTCTTGTCTTGTGCTGTCAGCACTCTACAGTTGTTCGCATCACGTGAAATGAAGCATTACTTCAGTTGACAACACCCAAGCTCCTTTCTGTATGTGCAATAAAACCTTCACAAGTACAAAGTCAATAAGAGGAATCTATGAAAACACCCACTAAATGAACATAAACTGGCAGAGAAGCAATAATTTCAGTTTTGTTGTCATGGTGAGCCCAGCAGATTATTTAGGTTACGTCAATCAACATTATTAACCTGATGTTGCAAAGTTTTATTTGTAAAATAAATGAGCAGCTTCCTCTGAGCTGTCAATCACAATTAGGTAGGTGAAATTATGTTTTTCAGTTGAATCATTTTTAAAGAAAATCCAGTTATTTTGATACAAATCTATATTTTGACCTAAAGGACATATAAATATATACTTCAAACTGTTGAAAAATATAGTATTGTAACGTCTGCTGGGTAAAAAGGGGTCAAAGACGAGCTTGTTTTTTCCTCTTTTATTGTCTCACACACAACAGCACAATGAACACACACAAAACCCTGGCCAACCCATAGGTGCTGGGTGCTTCTCCCCTGGGGCATTTTGGGGAACCCTGCCAAGCGTCTCTCCACCCCCAACACTACAATTTGATTGCTTGACCATGAGTACATTCCCCTGGCACTTATGACACTGACAATTGTTTAAATGTTATTTAAAGTTCCAATGGCAGCTCATTTTGCTTGTTACCAGCCATTTAATATTTAATCTTGGGTACCTCTACATTAGCTTGACACCCCTCATAACTCCAGATAATCTGTTTTTTTTTTTTTCAGAATAATAAAACCAAAAAGCCTCCTCCTAAAAACGAGAGGATAGTTTGTGAATGTACACAACTCCTGCTGCTGGTGTTGTCACAAGTGGACAGCACAACGAACCACGATAGCATTAATTAATGTGAATGTTGTTAGATATTACCCGGTTCTTTTATTGAAAGCACGAAAAGTGAAGACAGGAGAGGACTGGTTAAAATCAACAGGAAGTTTATTCAAAGTCTGAGCACAGTGAAGTCCATACAGCGCTGGGATCAGAGCGACAGAGCTCCCGCAGGAGATCCGTGTTCTGAACCACGAGTTATGTTTTCCCATTACATTTATTTTCTTGGGCTAGGTCCGCCCTGGACAGAGATACAACATTTCATGCTTCGTAATCCTATTGGTCATTTGGCGTGAGTAGGTCAACCCCTGCCTGCTGAAATGTGATCTAAACCAGGTGTGTGCATGTTGTGATGTGATTTTCCAGGCGGTAACTGAACGATGGGTCATCTGTGCTGTAGACCCCCTATCTGTGTAACCCTATTACAAGACAAAGCAGGACCTCGTGAGTATGTTAAATGGGCCTAGGTGAAGGTGCAAAACAGGCCAACAGGCCTTTTTAAAATGTAAAATAGGTTATCTGGTTGCTTGAAGATACAGACAATATGTCTACACAGAAGTTAAAGTAAGCAGTTTCTACTTCATTATCACTTGACTCTCATCAATACAATTGTAAGATATATAAACAAGAAAAATAAATGTATTAAAAGTAACCAAAGCTCAGTAGTTCTGGACAATCATCAATACAGTTGTAATGTATATAAGCAAGGAAAGTAAAGAAGAATCAGAATCAGAATCAGTTTTATTGGCCAGGTGTGACGGACACACAAGGAATTTGACTCGGGTACATCGGCTCTCAATGTGCAAAACAGTAAACCAGCATAAGGTTGTGTAATATAACAAAATAGCAGTATTAACATCAATAAACAGTGCAAACAATGCAGAAAAAGCAGTATAAACAGAGAGTAAACTGCAGACAACAAAGGAATGTTCATTGAAATGAGATAAATAGGGATAAAAACAGAGTACTTAAAGCTACAGACCTAAAGGTATGAAAAGTAACTAAGAGGAAATAAAGAACTGAAAAGTAACTAAAAGAAACTAAAGTAAGAAAAAGTAACTAAAGCTTATAAAGTAACTAGAGCCTATAAGAATCCAATCTTACAATGTCTCCTCCATAGATAGGTAAACAACAGTATATGTACCGGTGAAAAGAGATGTGCAATGCTCTAAACAAAGCAGGTAACTGAGAAACCCAATATTTTAACTGGCATAATGCAGATGTAGTAACTTCTCCAGCCTTACAACAATTCTCTCTGTTACAGAAACAAGGCATTAACAGACATGCCATGTGCATTTTTAAACTTGCCGTTAAGTCCCACCGAGTAGTGTAAACATCATTCCCTTTTGTTGGACCCGGTACTTTTTACCACGCTAACTCTGAGAGACGAAGCAGTCCAAGTAACTTCAAAACAGTGCTGATTTATTCTATGAACACAGGTAAAAATTAACATTACACGCTCAGGTACCTTGCACCTCCATCATGCACGCAGGCAGCTGAAAGATGAAAGACCCCGAACCACAACAGGCCTATACATTATATCACTTCGGGCTAACCCTATTCTACAGAGAGACGCCAAACCGTGACGTCTCCCGGTGCCAGCTTTGCAGCTGGCCAGAGCAGTAGTCAAAGCATGAAGAAAAATCAATGTGTGATTGTCTGTTGATTATGTGGTGTGTAGCTAAAACATTCTAACACGACCTCTAGTGACATGTCATGACATTAAACATAAGAAAATATTATGGCTAAGGCTACAGTTATACACGTCATAATAATAATATTAAACATCCTGTCTTCTAACAGTCATCAACTTTCTATCTAGTTATCCTTGACCATAAGCAACCTGCAACAACTCATGATAATAAGTAAGCATTTAACAGCCTGAGCTAGACATCCTATCTATACTAAACATTTCTAATACATCAAGTATCTAACCAATATCTATCTGACTAAAAATACCTAACACTTTCAAGTAGTTCCAAGGTTGGTAAATTCAACCAGTGGTCGCTGCGTTGTCCCCCACATGACCACATACAGTCCCATAGCAGTGAAATTAATATTAATTCCAACAGGTAGCGTAGCACTGACAATAACATCATGGGCCATTAATCCACTCCTTAACCAGCAACACATCACATGCGGCAGACACACTGGCCTCAAGCAGTCAAAGAAAACAGGTACTGTGCTCCAGGGGAGACCCGGTCAGGTAAAACAGCTAGTCCCTGTACATGAAGGTTCCTGGACATGCAGTAACCTCAGGCCCTGTATGTTTCTCCACATCCTCTGGTCACAGTGCAGCAGCAGGAGGTAAAATATATCCACAAAACCAGGCACATTCAGAAAATAAAGCTTGTACAATGGCACCATTGGAGGTCTTTTTTTTTAATTATCTTTATTGAAAACATACACAACATACAAGCCAGTATAACATTTTTCCAATATGGTGGGGGCACCGGTGGATGTCAGGCAAGCTCACCTGTAAAAACCTGAGTTACTTCTGCATAGAAATACTAGAACATATGTTCACTTTATTTTTTGAGTTTTAGGTCACGTCTAAGATATTCCATTGTTGCAACATTGTAGATAAGTCAGGAAACGAGGAAAAGAGTCATAGGCTCCTTAGGAAAAGTGATTTCTAAAGGCTACATTAAGGCTAAATAAATGTCCCATGCAGAGTGACATGACAATTTGTACTTGGTGCTTCATAAGCACACACCAGTTGCACTTTTTGGCTGCATTTCAATATTGAAAATTATATTGTTTGGTGTTTTGTATTTTGCCATGGCTCTTGTTATGTATCCCCACCAGAAGAGGACTTGCACCTGGACCACAGTCAGTGGGAGGACATCCATGTTGTCACGGGAGCCCTCAAGATGTTCTTCCGTGAGCTGCCGGAACCACTGTTCCCCTTCAGGTTCTTCCAGCCATTTGTGGAGGCCATCAGTGAGTCAGAGAATAAAAGGACAAACTTTAAATCACCTTTTGTTTGTTTTTTTGGGGATGGTGGTGGGGGTATTTATGTTTAAAGTCACGGTTTATATCCAAAATTTCCTCCTTTAGGCTTTCTAGAAAGATTTATAGGATATGTTTGCTACAGATTAGCCACTATACTTTGACAATTCAGTTTTATTTTGTATAGTGCCAAATCACACCAAGTCATCTCAGGACACTTTACAAAGTAAGGTCTAGACCTTACTATTATTATAATAGAGGAAAACCCAACAAATCCCCCCTTTTTGGTCTCTGGGAAAAAATATAATAGTACTGCTTCCATCTTTTTGTTTTTTGGTACAGAGATCAAAGAGTCTAAACACAAAATTCAGGTTGTGAAGAAACTGATTGTGGAGCTGCCCAAACCCAACCAGGACACGATGAAGTTGCTCTTCAGCCACCTACATAGGTATGCTTACTATATATACAACTGAACAGAATTCCTACTTGAAGCAAAACTGAAATACATGTAAAGCATATTGGAGTAAAGTCATTTTAATGTTTAAGTAAATATGAAAAACATTTCAAATGTACTAAATTACTGAAAAACCAGCTGTGGTCCTTTAGGTCATTTCTCTAAGTGCAATTGGAATATCTTCTTTTTTTTTTCCTGATACTGATGTTCAGACTTTCCATCCATCTTTTTTTTCCACTTATCCAAGATCAGGTCACTGTGGCAACAGGTTCAGCCAGGTAGTCCAGAGGAAACTCATTTTGACTGCTTGAATTTGTGATTGTATTTTTTTAATCACTACTCAAAGCTTGTGACCATAGGCGAGGGTTAGATCAGAGACTGACTGGTAAATTTAAAGCTTTTCCTTTCAGATAAGCTGCTTCATCATCATGACAATCTGGTACAATGTCCGCATTACTGCTGATGCTGCCCCTATCTACCTATCAATCTTGTGCTCAACTTTATACTCACTCATGAACAAGACCCCAAGATACTCCTTCACTTGGGGCAGCAACTCACTCCCAACCCAGAAAGAGCAGTCCACCATTTTGATTACATCAGATCTCTGCCAGGGATATGGATGAGGCTTCCCGAGTCTTCCAGCTCTACCTCCTCATTGGAACATGTCAGACAGGTTCAGGAATTCCTTAGTGTTCTTGCCACTGCCCAACGATATCCCCAGTCCAAGTCAGCAGTTCTCCTCCCCCACCAAACACAGCCTAAGCCAAGCCCTGCTTTCCTTTTCTAAACCACTGGACTGTTTGCCAGAACTTCCTTGATGCCAGCCAAAGGTCCTTCTCCATAGCTTCCCCCAATTCCTCCAACACTCGAGTATTTTTTATCTGCAGCCCTTTTGGCCTGCAGGTGGTGCCCTCTTGAGGACCTCCCCCAGGGTCTCCAAGAAGGGCACATACTCTGAACTGTCATTCAGAAGATGAACACAAGCAACAGTCAGAGCTTTCCTCCCAGACACTAAGTTCCCTGGAGGCATCCCTGTCATTCCTCGGAGACTAGAACCTCTCCAGGAGTTTGGTTCTAAAGTCAAGGCTATGTGTGGAGGTAAGCCCAAATATATCTAGTTGGTACCACTCCACCTACTGCACAAGCTCCGCCTGACTTGCATAGCACCCAACCCTCAGTCCTTTCCCTCCAGGTGGTGGGCCCACTGGGCGTTGGCTCCATGTCATTTCTTTGGGATGTGCCCAAATAGATCCCATGGCCTAAGGCCTGGACACAAGGTGCCCACTGGTGAGGCCACGTCTGGCTCCAGCAGGGTGCCCTGGTTTCCCTAAATTGAGTGAGGTAGCGTGCAATTCCCCGCCAATCCCCCCCACCCCCCTGGCAACAGTTTGCTATGGGAAAACCCTACCAGGGGCTAATACCCTGGACAGCAGCTGTCAGGGTCACTGGGACACAAACCTCTCCACCACATTAAGGTGGCAGTTCCAGGAGACTTCATAAAGTAATATGTAAATTACTGTAAAAGTACTGATTGATGCATATTGTATTTATTTTTAATTCCCTGGTGTTTCAGAGTTCTGGGCTTTTCGAGGAAGAACCTGATGTCCACTCAAGGTCTTGGTATTGTATTTGGCCCAACACTGATGTGGCCTGAACTGGACATAGGAAACTTGGCTATAAATATGGTCTACCAGAATCAGATTGTGGAATTTATCCTCATGGAATGCCAAGAGATCTTCAATCTGGACATGAAGTAAATTCATCACATGGACTCGCATTTACCCATCAAAGCCAAAAACTTGCGAAACATCTTAAGATATTGCATTGTTTAAAGATAAAATTACTGGACTGAAGAAAAAAGCTACAGGATTGAGAACAAGTGCTGAAGATAATTTCTTAAATGCAAATTAATTAATTATGCAGCTATTTCTTAAATGCAGATAGCTGCATAATTAATTAATTTCACCTCATACATTAATGAAGTCTACAACACTCACCTGGTAAGTGCCATATTAAAAATTGCATGTTTTAAATTTTTTAGGTAGATAAATAACCCTAAAATATAAAGTATCTGAAAGAATGAAGTACAGGATAGTTTGAGGTACTGTATATGCATTGCAGGACCAGGATTAGGGGAGTGGATAATGGAATTCATTGCACAGGCTGCGCTCCACTGAGTAAGGCTACATTTTTCAGGCCCTTGGGATATACAGTGTCCAATTTGTGGATCCACACTTTCTCAGCTTTACATATTTGAGGCATGGACCATTTAAGATTGCTTTGCGATACAGTGGCCTGGAGAGCGTGCCACCCCTGTGGTCCAGGAAGTGCTGTACAAATGGGATGGGGTATGGGTCTTCCCATGTCTCAGACTATTACAGTATATCTGTGTTGGGTGAATCTGGCTAGAACTGTGTTCCCTGTTTCTCCCACCTATTGTATACCACACCATTTACATATGAATAAACAATTTTTACTGGTGTATTTGTCTAATTAATTTTAAAACTTTTTTTCTTATCTGTAGTGTGTACCCTTAGTTGTAATTTTGAAAAAAATTCTCCCCATCCTCTGGATCTGATGGTCCTGAGTGGTTTGGTTTTGGCTTTAACCTAATAATCTTTTAGACTTGAAAGATAAGGCACACATATTACAAAAAGCAAAGAAGCTTAAAGGATCTAACATTTACAGTGGGTACGGAAAGTATTCAGACCCCCTTAAATTTTTCACTCTATGTTATTTTACCCTGCCTTCGCCCGATTGCCGGCCGGGATTGGCTCCGGCCCCTCCCCCGTGACCCCATTCAGGGATTAAGCGGTAGAAGAGTTTGCGGATGAGAAATTGCAGCCGAGAGATGCTCTTATAGTGAACATCAGCAGCTGCCGACGGGGGCTGTCTGACGAAGAGACGCTCACAGTGTGCATTTGGTATGCCACAGTTTTAATAAAAAGGAGAATTCCCTTCCCCGGGACAATTGATACAATCGATATTATGATGAAAAAACAATGAGGACACAGGGATAGCTTTGTTATTTTCCATATGTGCAATGTACATGTTTATTTCTTGGTGATCACTGTGTGTGTGTGTATGTGTGAAATGAAATATGAAAGTTAGGGACAGAGGTATGCACGACTGAAAACTTTGTATGAGTGTGTATGTGTGAAATGAAATATGGTTAATTAAAAGAAACTCAGTCATTCAGAAAGCCGACAGTGAATATACCACATAGTGATGACAAAGCGGTTTGAACCTGAATTGACTGAGAGGGAAAATCAATATTAATGGAAATAGTTGTTGCAAGAGAACTCCAACAGAGTTAACTAGGGACGCAAAATATATGAACTACAAAACTAAAAGAATGTCAAATATTTAACAGAATGATATAATGATGAC